AAAATGTGTTATTTAATATTTCTAAATTTTCCAAAAAAAAATGATAAAAAATAAATATTATTCTGTAAAGTGTAGTTTACAGATGATAATAATTTTCTTGTTTTATTTTAATTTAGTCAGTTTTTAGTAGGTATGAGGAATACACTGCATATGTGCATATAAATGCAATGGACAGAAAAAAAGAGTATTATTATTTTTATCTTCCTTTATTCCAGTACGTAGTCCAATCATGCAAATTATTTTTAAGCGCAAATGAATCACATGGATAAATATAAAACACTCTATAGTTTACCACAAAGGGATTAGTGAATTTAATACATGCATTTGGTTTTTATTTATTTAATAACAATAATTTTCATTTATTTTAAAATGTTTTGGACACATTTTATTAAAAAAATGAACTAAAACTATTTCAATGTTAAATTTAAGAGTCTGAGAATTGTAGCGAATAATATACGAACAAAGGTATATTATTCAATTCTCAGCAACAGAACTCTGTACAGCATTTAAAGTGGTAATTTGTAATTGCGAAGATACTAATTTTTTTGGCTGAAATGGTATAATATGGCAAAAAGTAACTCAAGCTAATTTTATTAATTAAAATAAAAGTTCGTTTCATTATACTCTAATGAGAAGTCTTAAAAATCGATTAATACAAATAAAGAAAAAATTTGTAACTTTAATGAAAGAATCATAAATTGATTAAAGTTTTATCACAATTAATTCAATATATCAGAACACGAAAAAATATTTTAGTTTATCATACCTATTTTTATTTTACAATATTTTGTTATTCGAAGGAAAAAAATTAATCCATAAATTAAATTTAATTTCTTTCATGTTTTTGTGAATTAGATTCTAAATTTCTTACTATTTTATAAATAATTGATTAATTTTTCAGCAGCATTATTGAGCGGAAATAATATTGGGATATTTTTGTTTTAAAAAAAAAAATGTGAGACTATATATATATATATAACATGCAATATTTTTATAGTTCGACCTCCTCATCCACGACCACGAACCCAAACACGTATGCGCCATTCGGACTGCATTATTCTCAAAATAGGGCAAAGGATGCGGACTTTTTTTCCCTCGAGCATATAAATTATCTGTTTCCGGAGAAGAGCAGAAGACTTTTACGTCGCAGCAGGTAATAACAGCCTTTTGGACTAATCTAAGTGTTTTGGCAGAATGCCAATCAAGGCTGCGTTTGAGACGGTCGAACTATACTGATGAATGATATTTAAATGATACATACACAGGCATATAATCATACAGACACACATATTTGAATATATAAATACAGTACGTATCTATGTTTATAATAACATGTATTATATATGTAAGAACTGTATTTAGAATAATAAAGTTAAGATTTTAAAAATTATAATTGTTATAAAGATTAAGCTTACTCATTTATTTATTTTACACTTTTTAATACAGAATAATTTCTCATGAGCAGATACATACGTACATATATGCATTTAAAATATACATAATAAAAGTTTCTGATTTTTTTAATGTATTCATATCAATTTATAGGGAAATACATACATAGTCAAAGCTTACTTATTAGATTTTTCTATTATCAGTTAGCAAGCCTAGTTTCGATAATTGATTATTGATAATCGTTAAAAGATTACACTCTTGAAAAAAATATAAAGCACTTGTGCATTATTTCATTTGTATTGAGGCCCACCAGCGGCCGAGCGGTAAAGTCGCTGAACACTGGTAGTTCGGTCCGAGGTTTGAATCCCGCGAACGAGCTGGTTGCATGGGCGTTTCCGTGTTTTTCCCATGTGTAACGTATATACTAGGCAGTTTCCCTTAGAAAGTCCTCCACAAAAGGCATCCCTCCCCTTAGGCAGATAGCCCTAGTGTGCTTTGCCATAATTAAATACACACACACACACACACATTTGTATTGTATTAAAATCATAACTTTAAAACAAATAGTTAAGCACTGGAATTGCTTCTTCCAGTGCTTTCAAAGAAATTATCAATGTAACTTGTGTTTTAATTAAGAAACATTAATCTTTTATCTCAACTACTATTACTATATATGCCTATTTAAAGAGGAAGGGACTATTTATATAAAAGTACATTAGTTTGTAAACGTTCTTCATTGATAAAAAAAAAATCGAATTTTATGTAAATTAAAGTATCCAATATACTATTTTACTGTGGATATATTTGCGGGTAGGGGGCGAAATTTTATAATTTTTATCAATCTGAACACAAAATTTTCCAAGCTGTTTAAAAATTATTCAGATAGGGATAAAGTTTTAAAAAAATTCAATTTGTATGTGTTGGAGTACTAATAAAATATACTTTTCAGTACTAAAACTTCCAAAACTTTCTGTATCATATGCGCAACAGAGAACATGCAAACACCAAAAATTATATTTTGAACAAATAAGCAATATCTTATTTATGCTTATAGATTTCTGCCCAACACCAAAGGCAAATCCTTATAATATTTACGATGCCAGTATGCTATATTTATACCATGTAAATATAATAATTTATAAAAATTGTGATGAAACATAGTAATGATACTTAATCCTTGAAACAGAAGAAACACAAAGGCAATCGTGGGTGTAAAATCACATATTTATTCCATTAAGTCCATATAGACAGGGCTCGATTAAGGTAAAACTCAGCATTATTTCCAGGATCAGTAACATCCACTTTTCTGATTCTTATAAAAATGATTAGGTGGAGTTTACAAGATTTTGGGGCCTTGTAAAACATGAATTTAGTCATAGGCAGTTATCAGGCCCTGCAAATAGCCCAAGCCTTAAAGCTTAAATTTGGACTGTACATTTTCGCATCTATTTAATTCAGCCATAATTTATCTAGATATTTTACTTAGGCAGAGGCCAATAACAGCTATAATCTGGAATTAGTTAAAGTAACTGAGCGCCTGTTCAAAGACCTTTCTGATTAAAGATTATCCTAAAAAAGTACTGAAATATAACAGAATATGATATAAGGGAAAATAACAGCTGGTCGTGGATTCGTAAATTGCGGTGGAGGGGGGGGACTCGCTTTTACAGAACTTTATGGCTCCTCATCTCATATGTTTATTTTTTAAAAATTAATTAACAATTTCAGGGCTCCTCGGAACCTTATGACTCCATAAATGCCTCTTGATAACAGCATCAGGATAGAGACAGAAGCAATTTAAAAAGAGTTTAAGATATTACTTTCTACACAAATGTATTTATGTGTATGTACATGTGGTGGTGATGTGACACTTGCGTACATGGCAGTTCCGCACATGTGGCGTTTGCGCACATCATCCGCATGGTAACATGAAATTTTCTCGCAGATGTAACAAGTTATGCGCGACAACTGACACTTCCGCACAACCTGTCTGAAATAATCAATCGGCCTTGTGATTTATTGGCACAATTTTTCTTAAGTAGTGCCCATTCCGGTTATAACGGTGGTCCTGAGTGTTTCTTGGGAATTATTAGTTTTTTCGAGTTCTTTTTAGAAAATTTATTTAAAATGAATTTCACCTTTACTGAAATATATAAAGGCAAACCATCTTAATTTATAACCACTATCGGTATGTATGCAAACTTGTATAAATATATAATAATGCACACTTACAAATTTTACTGAAGAAGTACGTTTTTATGTTTCTTTATTACGAAAAAAATACGCACTTATTTGAAGGTAATTATATCTTTAAGTTAAGATTTTAAAATTATGATTTTCCTGCTTGCGTTTACGACTTTACCGAAATCATTAGTTAGAATTTGGAAAGGGGGGGAGTTTAAAGTAAGAAACTACTATGCTTCTCGCCTAAATATTTTAGACATTATCTTTGATCATGTTTTAAATAATCGATTTTAAAGTTGTGGAAACAAAATAATTTTTTTTAAATATAGAACATAAATCATTTTAATTCTACATTATTCTCCTATTTTTGAAAAAACAATACAGATCTGTTAATATATAATGCTGCCCACAGTACCTATTACAGAATTAAATAAATGATAAAGTACGTATTTTATGTAAAATATTTTAATATTTGGAATATAAAATAAAAGTAGAAAATACATTATTAAGGATATCGAAATAAGTACACAGTTTCACGTTTAAAAACCAGTTATAAATCTTTAAAATGTATTATATTTTGAAAATATTTTGTCATTTCAAGGGTACTTGACTCCTAATTTCTCATTCTTTATTACGTTAACACATATATAACATAAACATTTTATTAAAATCAATACTGGAGCAGCCTAGTAGCTTACAATTTTGTAAAACACATAATAACCTAAGTCGGCGTTAGAAGTTATCAAAAGATAATCAGGAAGATGTGGTTTTGTGCGGAACTATCACAAGCAATTTTTATTTCTTACGTGCAGGTGTCCTTGCTTGTCAATTTGTGCGCATATGCCGTGTGCGCAAGGGCCACTAAACCACATATAGTCCTCTCGAGAGGTTAGTAGTAGGGGATGAGAGACGGGAGACTCACACACCACCTCCGTGGAGTTTTGTCTCAAATTCGGACGGAAGGTTAACAATTAGCTAAACTCAACAATATTTCAGTCACTTGTGGTACTGCAAAGGCACTGGCCTAGCTTCTACCTGTAATACTGATAATACTTCTTCTACCTTCTAATACTGATAATTCGTATTCTGAATTATAGTATTAATAGTCCCGAATCACAGTATTCCGAATTATTAGTATTAATGATAATTGTTTTCCAAATTTATTAGTATTAATGACAAAATTAGTTTTCCGAATTTGACAATGCTAACCTTAATTGAAGTAAAATTTTTGTATATGATAATGTGATGTAAAATTTTTGTATATGATAATGTTTTTGAATATGATGATGTGAGACTTTTATGATGTGTGTGTTATTTATATAACAACAACAACAAGAGAGAAAAGAAAGAAAAAGAAGTTAGTGTGGCACTTGCATTCCCGTGCTTACTTGATTAAGTATTTAAAAATATACGGAATACATAAATACAGATTAAAGTCATATCTTTTAATTCTTTTGCAGTCGTGCATGTATGCCAAGGCTTGTAACTGCTCTTGTATACATCAGATCTTGACAGAAGTTGGAAGAAAACTTTGAAAATTCGCGATTTAGTTTCTGAAGTATCAAAGTTGTACCTTTGTGAAGAAGGTAAATACTTTGCTTTCGAGCATTTGCACAAAGAATTGTTTTTCGCTTAGTCCATTCGCATGGTGATTTATTATATCACTGGCAAGAAGGCGAAACTGTGTTCTTTTTCCATTCCACATATGTTTCATTTCACTCTTGGAATCAATCTTCCGTTATACTCTTCAATTACGGAGGAAAAAATTGTTGAAATTTATTTACCATTGATCCTCTCAGTCTGTTTATCCTGAAAAATAAATTAAGTAGCATGTTATCATACATATATGACAATCGCTTGCTCAAATAATGAAAACCAAAATGAAATAAAGAGAATAATAGTAACAGCAACAATCATAAATAGTATTACAATTTTAAATTAAATTACGTAGTTTCCCAACCAGCAATACGAAATAAAAATAAAAGTTTTCTTCTCTGTTTTAAATGATTTTTCGATGTATACATTTTCACAAGTTAAATAAATTGTATAAAAATGTGCATACGTAAATCAACACCTCGACATAAATATGAAATTTTTACTTTTTACACCTCAGCGAACATTATTAAATTTTCAACTATGAGATAACTTTCTCAAATTAAAGGATAGCGATAATTTTCAATCAGTCAAAACCAAAAAAAAAAATTTTTTTTTTTTTTTTTTTTTTTTTTTTTTTTTTTTTAGCGAAGGGATTTTTGCGCTCATCACTTTAAATATCATTAAAAACTTTCGCCAAGAACAAAAACTGATATGGAAATTTTATAAGTTACAAAAGCTCGAGAATATTAACATCTGAGATTTAAAATTCAAAAATATTGAAGACTTGTGGTAAGCAAACAACTCGTGTGAATTAATTCCGAACAAAAGGTCTAGTACAATTACATGTGAAATTTAAAACACATCAATGCACTAAAACATATCAAGTTAACTTTTTTTAAATCCAAAAATTTATTTGTATGAACTGAAATATCTGTTAAATGCTAACACAGCTTTGAAGAAAAACGTAACTTCTATCACATTTTCATGATTTTGTTACGAATTTTTAAATATGTTTATCATAAATTCAAAAGGTTAATATTATTTTTCATTTTACCTTAGCACATTTTTAATTGAGTTAAATACAAGCATAAACGTTAAATATACTGATTATTTTTATCCTCATTTCTTCCATCGCTATTTTTATTGCTACTGTTTTCCTGTCTGCAACAGAAAGGAGGGAAAATTAACACCAAACATAAACGACTATAATAATATTATATTTTCGGTAACCAACTTATTTTTAAAACTAAGATTTTTAAAGGATATATCTAACAAACTATGAAAAAAAATTCAAAATAGTAACTGAATCAATCATATGATTTTTTTTTTTTTTTTTTTTTTGGTTTCACTCTCAATAGCTGATTTTAGGAATATGTGCAAAATTTAAAATCAAAACAGGAAATTTATTTTCTAGTATGATTTAAGCGAATTGCATAACATGATAGATTAATTTTCTTTCTTTAAATATTAGTTTCTATATTTACATGGAATTTAATATTACTGCACTGTGAAAATGAACATGCCCAAATATTCAATACGAAATTAAGAATTTACGCAATCATACATCTAATAAAAAATATCTTTACATTAAAGTTTACACATCACTAAGTCTACTTATTTCGTTATTTTTGTGCCTTCGACAATTTTGCAAAGCTTTTAATGTAAAAAGTCTTCTTCTAAATAACATGCTTCAGCATTTAAAGAAAAAATAATAACAAAAATTAATTTTAATTTTAACTATTTATTTATTTATTTTGAGAGCAGCTGAAAGTTAAACAAGCTGTGAAAGCAATTTCAAAAAGCTCAATCTAGTTTTTATTTTAATTCGTTAAACGTTCATATTGTTACAGAATTCGTTGTGATGTGGATGAAAAGATAAACAAACATCGAAGCATTCTTTTACCCTCTTTGCGACCTAATTTAAAAAAAAAGGTGTAATATTTAAAATTTTCTTGTTATTATTATTAATTCTTTTTGGCTCAGTCCCCTCTCTTCTTACGTGTTTGTATGTGTAGGGAAAGGGGAGAAGTCTTTCTCCATCCTAAGCTAAGCTTCGTGATGATTCTCAGCGTAAAAAAAAATTCTTAGGTAACAGCGCCGTCTATGCGTCGGCATAGAAACTGCGCTCTCGTCTTGCCGTTACGTCAGTCCAGAGATAGCAATCATCGACTTCCTAATCTCTCTGCCGTTAATGATGTCTTCGGAGAATTTTGTACGAGTGCGTGCGGTAATTATACAGGTGAACGTCTATTGAGTCATTTCGGAAAACTGTAGTACTTTCATTGCATTCATTCCTTTGGATAAATGGTGGAAACCGATTTATTCCTGATCATTTGGAAAGAATTAATTATTAATTCGATATCATATTAATATATATATTTACATCTTGCAATGCATTTAAGCATTAAAACTTTAAGTTATCGATGAACAGTTTAAAAGTATGATATAAAAAGTTAAATATTTTTAAACAAACGAAACAGTATTAATAAAACAAAATATAAAAAATCATTCTGCGATAATAGTATATATATTGTTTATAAATGCGTTATCGATTCATGAACATATTACATACTAGCGCAGTGAATGAAATTAGCTAGTATTAAAGCACTTCATTGAAAAGGTAGAAAAAGAAGTTCAGTCGAATTTTTGAATAAGCCGAAACTTGTGGGGGGGACCAATTAAATTAATTTTGAATTTCGAAATTTGCATTTCGATATTCAGTTCGACTTGTGGAAATTTAAACAACCGATGTTTCGTCACATTTAAGTCATATCATATATAGAGAATTGAGGCATACTTCCACGCATACAAGTGCCTTAATGTAAAAGACTATTTAGTTCACTAGCTTTAGAGGGAATGAATATATTTAAAATAACACAGAAGTTTATTTGGTTGATGCTTAATCTTCGACTAAATAAAATAACTGTTCCGATTTTAGTGAATGTACGCAGAAGACATTATATTTAAAGCAATCTCTAAAAGACGGATTACTTCTATAGGCTTGATATAGTAATCTGGAAGAAACTTACAATTAAAACGATTTATTTAAAATGATAGTTCTCGCATGAAATATATAAGTTTACGGATGGCACTATGACTGATCCATATTTCTAAAAATATGTTACGAGTTATTTCTTTCTTTAAATTTGGCAATATAAAATTAATATAAGATAAGCATACATTTTGAGAATTTTTATATTATGCAGCTATTACTGTACAAAAGATTTAAAATTTATAAAGTATAGTATAAGATAAGTTGTAATTGATTATACCATAAAAATAAAATATGCATTAGGTTATAGAATCATTAAGTTTATTTTGGAGCAGGAAACATGAACAATCAGCAAAACCTTCGCCGAAATTCGAACTTCTTACCTCTCGATTTTAAGCTTTGTTGTTTTTCCACGATGGCACGCGGTAAGGAAAGAGATCCCTTACAAAGTAACATATTATTATACTGGTTGCAAAGTACACCTTCTAACTTGCACCTTAGTAACTGATTAAATTAAATTTTTATTTCTCATTGATGTTAAATAAAAATTAAATATTCATTAGTGTTTCATACTGTTTATTTTTTAAATATAGTTTTTCTCTTTCTCTTAATTTTTTCTGTTTTTTCCCATTTTTTATCTCTTTCTCTCTTTATTATTTATAAACAGACCTTATTTTGCAAAGATATTAGGATTTTTTTGAAGCAGAAGACATAAAAAATGAGCAATGCCCTCGTAGCTCGGACCTCCCAAATACGCGCCGAGTGTGCTGACCGTTACACCACGAAGGCATACTAAGAAGACGGGATAAATACCTTATAATTTTACCGCAGTTATATTACAGGTTGTAAACAAGTGTGCTGAATTCAAAATTACATATTTTTAATTGTTTTCTTTAAAATATGCACAGTTAATTGAAGAAATAAACATCGAAAAGAACTTTTGTCATAAGCAATTCTAAAAGGCCTTTATCTTAACAGCAGGTAATGCATACATCTGTATTGCGAAAATAAGGATGCAGAATCGTACAAATGAATGATTAGAAATCTTGCTTAAACGCGTGATATTAAAAAAAGTTATAAGTTGTATATTTCCTAATGATTTTTTTTTTTCGCATAAATTAGGTCTGTAAAAAAGTAGAAAGGTAGACGTACAGATGTGTCAAGACACGGTAAGGGTCTTTCTCTCGGCACTGCTTGAGAACAGCGATACGGTTTGAAGATCAAAGACATAATTAAAGGACAGTTTTCTGTTTGTTGCATCCGTTCAAATACTCGAAGAAACTAAAAGTGATTTGAGATGTACTTACTGTTTCATGTTTTGTTATTATGGTTAACGTTTCCACGGTTTATTGAAAGAAAATTTGAAATTAGCAGCCACAGAGAACACTTTCTTTACTTGAGTGCATTAAAAGTGTAAGTTTTGTGCAAAATTTCAAAATATTCGTGTGTGTAACGAAGTTAAATTTTTTTCTAAAATATTTCGCTAACAGCTTAAGCAATTACTCGTATATTTAATTTTAGGAATAGAAATACATTAGGAACTAATTATAAATTAAAATCATTGGTATGACTGGTAATTTCTCATAGCAACCTTTCATTTTAGTAATAATAATAATTATCAAAGCTATCACTTCTAAATGCCTGAAATAAAAAATTACGACAGCGATAACTATCATAATTTATGTCAATTTTGAATGCAAACAGTTATGGCAAGACAGAACTTAGAAGGAATTTATGCCGTACATTTGACTTTCTACCCATTTCATCTTATGCAATCCGAAAATTTTCATATCAATTAAATGGCAAATTAAGGATTAAAAGAACATACAGAATACATATTGTATATTCGACAAGTACGCAATCAACCTTTTGAACCGGTAACCAATTAATATTTCTGGCATTTAATTCAGATCTTTAGGTGAAACATAAATTAAAGGAATTATCCAAATCATTAAATGGGGGGGGGGGGTTGTGCTTTAACTTAAAACTAATATTTAGAAGTCTACATACAATTCTCATAGCTTACGGTTTAAGTTAATATTAAGTCCGAAATTCCACCAACTGGCGATTCATCTTCCCTATTAGTTCAAATTAATATTAATTTCCAAATTTGACATCGACTTTTGAAGTAAGTCATCGCAAGCAAACTCGATAGATCTAGTAGCTAGAGAAGGGGAAAATCCCCTCCCCTCCCTGACAGGGAAACATAGGTTGTATTTCT